TGTAGTGTTTTGTTACTTCTAATCATGTTTGATTCAGAAAATAGAATGCTAAAAATACAGCAGAAAAACATAAAACTTTAATTTTCTTTCTGAATTAATATTTTCCTGATAGTTTTGATTTTATTATAAAATGCAGTGATAATAACTGAAGAAGTGGGCAGAAATTTTAGCTGGTCAGTTTGTAGCAGTAAAAATTGTCCTTAAATTAGAACTGCATCTCAGATACCTCTCAGCTTTGTATGGGCTGAAGAGAGGATGAATGCCTGTCATCTGAAGAACTGGATTCAATATTTATTACCAATTTCTCATTTATACCATTTCTCTTTGAAATATTAAAGCCTTGAACTGATACTTGCTTCTATAAATCTTCAGCCAGGTTACACCAATATGTTAGATTATGCCCTTATCTGTTGGCCTATATGAAGGTTAGTGTGCAACTCCAGCAGCAATCCAGGGAAGAAAATTTGAAAAAAAAACAGAGGAAGTCTCTAACCCTCTTCCAGCCCTTTCTTGGGTATAGATTACAAGCTCTTCTCTCATATGCCAGCTCTACTTACTTGCATTTGGCTATATGGAGCCAAGTCTGCACTGATTCCTGCATTCTCTCACCTCTTAGCTCCATGCTCCTATAGAGAAATAAAAACTTTCTGTCCATTCAGGCTCTATGCTTGGAATAAAAAAGCCAGTTAAGGGTGCATCTCTGTATGTTGAAGGGTCTTTCCAATTCTAGATCACAAGTCAGGCCTCCCATAATTTAAATCATGAGACTTTAAAAAAATGTTTTTATTTGCCTTCTAGTTCCTGAGCTGCTAGGGGTGCACTGAGTTCATAATTCCAAACTTATCTCATCAACAGTGTATGTTACAAGCTTGCATTAAAAATTAAATAAATATTCTCACATAGCCATTTACTTCCAGAAGAGGAGACTTCAAGAAGAAAAAAACCCACAAATAATGTCTGTTTTAGCATAAAATGATTTGAGTGAACATCATTGTTACTCCCCTGGCTAATGTCTTATATAAATCTGGGACATGAACTGGCCCAAACTTGTTATAGACGGTTGTCTTGGATAGTTATCCTGCTGCCCCTGTTGAGTATGCCTCATAATATTGCTTCTGATGGCAAAAATCCCAGTAAGCACTTGAGATACGATAAATGCATTTCAGGTTTTATTGGAGAGATCAGTTAGAAATGAGGCTGATTATGAAAGGAGAAATGTTATTGTCATAAAATGTAAACCTTTATAATCTTCGAGGAAAAAAATGCTGAAAATATTTAACAATTTGGGAAATTCCATCAACTTTTCCTGTCATGTAATGTTTAAAGAACACTTCAGAGTGTGGTGGCTTATGTTTACTCTGGGATAATGTTTGTTGCTCTTGTGTTAGCATGTGATTTCTATTAAGCTAATTACTTCCAAATATTTTATTATACTTTGCAAAATGCTTTGTTAAGTCAGAAATATGATAATGCCATCAAGTTAAAGATATTAGTATCTTATAGAGCGCTTCTTTGTCAATTTTAAATACATTTTTCTTCTAGTCTGTTTTACATCACTACATTTTAAGACATGCAGATGGTACTTCCAATAGATTCAAGCTGCAATTTTTTTTTTCATTCCAAGTTCTTAAAGTGTAATAACATTGTCAGGTTTGACCTAGAAACCACTATACAAAGCCCAAGCAAAAGTCTCTGTTATGTAACTAATGCCCATCTGCAATGATAAGGAGGAGACAGTCTTAGATAAAGGAGGCTTGAAAACAAAAGCAGAATCAGAGGACTAGGGCACAGAGCTGATTTGAATATTGAGAATCACACCCCTGGGTGGGGAGAAAGTATGCTAATGAAACATACATGTATGGAAATGAGATACATAGCTAAAACACAGGTATAGAGACATGCTCAGTAAAGAACTCCTTGCGTCACTCCCTTATAACCAATTAGCAAACAAGAATGCTTATGAAGGTCCAATACTCCTGTATAAAAGATGCTTAGAATTAAAAATCTGTGTGCTTGTTACGTGAAATTATTCCGCTTGCACCTTGTATTGCTAGCAATAAATCTTTATACTTTCACCCCTGGTATCTTTATTGGCTTTTGCATACTGGGCACGATCCCAGACTTGAGCTGGGGCTCAACAACATGAGCATCTGGATTTTTTTCTTTACTTGCTCTAAGCAGTTCTCTGGAATGACATGAACCTGATTATTTGTGGGTGGCTTTGACATTTTCCTAGCCAGGATATGGATTGAAATCAGTTTGGAATCTTTTTTTCTAACATCTGGGCTTATATGTTATATGGTCAGTACTAAAGCAATGAATCCCTTAGAAACCCTTGTCATAATAGCAGTAAAAGAGCTACTTTTTAATAAAACAGCACATCAAAATGCTACTCAGCATAGCTCACAAAGACACTCTCATGAACCCAGAGGGACAGCCTTCCATCTTCAGCTCCCTCTGTGCAAAAATGAAGTTCATTTCCTACCTGTGGGGACTTTTTGCCATCTTGTACCATCTGTACTTTTCACAGAGCCTGATGAGGGGACTTTGACCCCGAAAGCTTGCAGAAAAGGACAGTTTTCTTGCAATTTCCCAGTTGGTCTAATAAAAGGTATCATTTTGGAACCAAGAGTTCTAGTTTTTTGTATAATAACAATAAAGTATTCATATCGTCGTTCTCACTTTTTTCTCAAATGAAACTAAGTTTTCATTGTTTAAACATGGCCATTGTTTTAATGGGGGAGAATGATGCCCCAAAATATTGCTATAAATGAGTGGTTTCCAACCCTGGATCATGACTCAGATGAGGGTTGCGGGGGCAATGCTGGTGGTGCCACATGGAAAAGACAAGCTGCGACATGTACCGGGACCTCCCCCACTTCCGTCTCTGGGCCGCTGCCACCACCGCACTCCGCTTCCAGTGGGGGGGCACAGGGGAAAAAAGGTTGGGAACTGCTGCTGTAGATCTTAATGCTACTTTAAATTTTATAAAAACTGTAACCTTAGCATAAATTTTAGTATGAAAGCGTTAGCCTGGCAGTAGTGTAAATGTGAAATGTTTTATCAGGTCATTTTCTTTATCAGGTTCAAAAGTGGCCACTTCTCCATTTAATTTAATTTAATTTAATTTAATTTAATTTAATATAATATAATATAATTTGTTGTCTTGGCCTTTGACCTGGCGGAACTCTCTCTCTAGGTTGACAGGATAATTAAAGTATGATACTGCACCTCCACTTCATAGTTTCATAGTTGATAGGGTTGGAAGGGACCTGAGGAGATCATCTAGTCTGACCCCCTACCGTGGCAGGAAAGAGTACTGGGGTCAAACAACCCCGGCCAGATGTCCAGCCTTTTTTTTTAAGACCCCCAGGGTAGTAGCCAGCACCACTTCTTTTGGAAGTTGGTTCCAGGTCCTAGCTACGCTGACAGTGAAATAGCGCTTCCTAATGTCTAGCCTGAAACTACCCTCCGCTAGCTTGTGTCCTTTGTTTCTTGTAACTCCCGGGAGTGCTTGGGGGAACAGGGACTCTCCCAGTGCCTGCTGGTCCCCCCTGACTAGTTTGTAAATAACCAGTGTCGCATAGAGGGGGAGGATCACCTCCTTGGACCTACTTGAGATGCATCTGTGGATGCGCGACAAGGTACGGTTAGCCTTTCTGACCGCGTCCCGGCTTTGTCGGCCCATGTTCATTGCAGCATCAATGATGACTCCAAGATCCTTTTCGGTCTTGACATTGTCGAGAAGGGAGTTCCCCAGCCTGTAGGTGTGCCGCTGGTTCTTCCTCCCCAGGTGCATTACCCTGCACTTGTCAGTGTTGAACCTCATCTTGTTCTCATCGGCCCACCCTGTAGCCTGTCAATTGTGACTCCAAGATCCCTCTCTGCCTCCGAGCTGCTGAGAAGGACACTCCCCAACCTATAGGTGTTTAGCTTTACAACAAAACTATTTCAGCCATTTTCTGTTATTTTGAGTCTAGCTGAGTTTGGGACCAGTCCAGCCAAGCATTTTTCCTGGCTACCTGTGAAACCAGGGGCATTTCTGACATTTTGGGGATTGCCAAGTAATAGAGATGCCCTAAGAATATCTCCTGTGCAAAGGATTGTAATGGTGGTGACCTCCAGTCTGTGGATTTGTTTGATGACAGGTTAAAGTGACATTGCAACTACTTTGATCAGAGGACCTATCCTTGCATTTTCAGTAAAACATGGCCTGGGTTTGTTTTGCTCTAGCAAATGAATTCAGCCATTTTTACCAATCTGTACAAATTTGGCGCTCCCAGTGTACTTTGTAAGGGTTACATATATGCCACAAAACTGCTGTCACTTCTCAGGTGGGATGAAACAGCTGTTCTGCATGTGTAATGCTGAAACAGTTATCAGATTAGAAAGCAAAGATTAATGTCAGAAATGTTGAGGAATTGTAGTTACGGTTTACCTTTTTTCCAGTTTCCCTGATTGCTGTTGTATGCAATATCCAAGTTTCCAAGGACTTTGGATATTTGATTTAAGATTAAAAATTGAAAAGGACTGCATTGCACACAATGTCATTATCTATAGCTGATAATTTGGCCTAGATATATAAGCCATATCTTTCAAACTTGGTTGCCTAAAATAAGATACCTAACTCCATATAGAAAACTTAATAAATTAGGTTTATTTGCAGAGGTGTGGGTCACCCGCAACTCTCACCAACTTGGAGGGTTTAAACACCTGACAGATGGAAAATTTCTCAGAAAAAGCAACTTTGGCATAAGTTAACACTTTACCTTGGCTTTAGTAACAACTGTTTAATTGTGGTCCTGGATGGTGTTTTTTTTGTTTTGTTTGTTTTTTAACTAGTAACAGGAATAAAACTATAAAACTTGTTGTTCTCTTCTGATGACGTGTCACTAGTATGCCTGAAAAATCTACATCTACTTGGTTTGGGTGGTGGTGTTTTGATGTGATGATGCTGTATATAGCTTACTTGTAATATCCTTATTGTCTTTTAAATTTAGATGGAAGAAGGAAGTAAAAATGTGCGCCTGGGAACACTAATTGCTTTGCTAGTAGAAGAAGGACAGGACTGGAAACAGTTTGAAATACCAGCAGACATTGGTAGTGATATACCTTCTCAGGCTCCACAAGCACCTGCACCTCCTCCCACTTCAGGAGACCCTGTGATTCCAGCCACTAGCAAAATGGAACCTCCGCCTGGAAAATTGCAGTGAGTCTCTATATCGGCATGAACCAATGTTTTCATTGGTCCCACAGTTGGGGCCGCATTCGTCCCTTGTGTAACTCTTATGAAATTAGTGATCTTGATAAATTGTGCTGTCTTGTATCTAAAGCTGAATTATTGTTTGAGACCTTCTTACAACTTTGTCTGATTTATTTAGACCTTGCTATGCAGGCAAGTCTCTTTGCTATACCATATAGTATGAACTTAAAATGATATAGTTACACAGACATAATTCTCAGTGTGGCTGCTTTTTTAGTCTCATCGGAGTTCTTTTGCCACTTTAGCTCATGTCACATGGGAGAGATTTTAAACTAAGATGAAAAACAAGTGTTCCAATACTAAAATAAGTGTGTCCACATTAGAGTGGATATGTTAGTAGACTATAACCCACTTTCTCTAATCTGTATGAAATGGTGTCACACAGAATAACTTCTTTTTGTTTTCTTAGTAGGTGGGTGTGAAACATTCAAGACTATTGACATAAGGAATGTGCCCGTCATTAAATGAATGCAAATTTGTAAGGACAGCTTGGTAATAATCAGTATAAATATCTTGAATAGAAAATTAGTTTACCACAGCAAGACAGTGCAAGTATTGGCTGTCTATAAATCATTGATTTAGTTAGTTTAATAGAAGTTGTCTACAAAATTGCAGCAGTACTTTTGAATCATCTTTTTTCATAAATCTATAATGCTTTTTTATATATTGTAAGAAGATCCTGGCTATGGGCTGCTGGTGGTTGTATACTTTATTATAACTGGACAGAGTACTGTGTCCAACTGATTGATTGCTGTGTGGAGCTAAGACTTGTTAAATATAGACTGTTAGAGAAATAAAACTTCTTGGTAGTGTGGTTAGTCAGTAAACAATTCTGTGGCTTTATGGTTCCTTGCCTAATTGCATGCCAGATTTGTTTATATACTTTTGCTACTAGCCTTCAGGCTGTCCTAACTCAGCCAGGGAAGCCATGTGAAAATCACTAATTGAGGTCATTATTTGCATGCTTGCTAGAGTAGGAGGATGTTCAGAATACCCACAAGGATTAAGTCAAGAGTTTTTTCAAACAGAAGAATGTAAGAATGCAACCTGTTTTAGTGAAGGTCCTAATTGCAAATGTGAGATAATTGATTTGAAACAATGAACAGCAATTGTGATTTATATTTCATATATAATCCCAAGCATATAATGTTTGAGAAGTAAGTACATTTGACCATGTAAAGCAGAAAATACACCAATGGTATTTGAGAGACACACCACCTTATTTCTTCTAAATGGCCTAGAGGAGATAGCTGTCCTGTCATTAAACTTGAGATGATCTCTAGCTTTGGCTTTTTGAACCTTTGGGATCCCCAGAAACTGATGTAATTTAGTACAGTCTCACCGATTTGGTGCAGAGACCAGCCATACGTATTGCTGCCCTGGGGTCAGTGGAGTACAGTGAGCTTTGAGCTTCGTGTTCTACTCACTGACTTGCAGTGTCCTTCCCCAGCTGCTACTGAAGATCTGAATTATAGCATGTTGGTTACAGTAGCTCTTGAGAGACTTTTACATGTTAATCTAAGATGATTATTTAGATTATATATTTTTATTTTAGGATTCGTTTAAGTCCTGCTGCCCGTAACATTCTGGAGACACATGGACTTGACCCAAGCAATGAAACTTCATCTGGACCTCGAGGAATCTTCACTAAAGAGTACGTATAAACCTACTGCAATCCTGTAATTAAACCAATCCTTCTATTAATTTCCTTGTTTTAACCTAGCCCAAATTTCATTATGGTTTTTATATTACATGGTTATTCTTTTTCTTTTTTTCATTTTTGTCCTTTCCTTGGAGGAATTCACAAGTTGAAAGACCAAGGGAGAGGATATTGGAAGCTGTGTGTGTGTGTGTGTGTGTGTGTGTGTGTGTGTGTGTGCGCGCGCGCGCGTGTGTGTGTGTGGGGGGGGGGTGGGGGGGTTGATGCAAAATGACTGTATTTTTGTCTGTTTGATTCCAGAGACGTGGACTGTCTGGCTGTGGAAGCAGCTGGAGGAGACTGTAGCCCTTGTAGTGCTCTCCATCGCAACCCTTTAAGTGGCTGACTGTCCCCAAACTGAGCTGTAACCTAGTGTTGGGCAGCTGCCCATTCAGCCACAGAGGCAAGCAGTTTTATGAGGAGTTTGAAGTTCCTGTTTACACTCCCAGGCCACATCCAGATGTACGTGGATGTTTGGTTCCCCGGGGACAGCTAGCGGTGGTGCACCTTGTGCTGCCACTATTTGTCCCCCCGACACGCCTGTGCCATGTGTACTCTGGCACATAGCAAGTTACTTCTGGGGTCAGCAGCCTTACCTAGAGTCCTGGGGGCCTCCCAGGGCTGCAGCAGCAGTAATCCTGCTGTATGGAGCCTGGCCAGAAGTGGAGTGTGGCTCTGACCACCCAGACTGGCTTTGGGTGGCATACCATGTGCACCATTATGCTTTTTTTTTCTGCTGTGTTTTTTTGGACACCTTGATATTCAGGGGTTAAAAAACCCTCTGTGCTGCTCCCTTCCAGCACAGAGAGCAACTGAACATGCAGTTTGTGGTACCACATACTGCATGGCTGTGCTCATCTAGGCATGACCCCAGTGGTCGTTGCTGACCTTAGCAGGCACAGTAGTTCATCTGTGGGGTATTCTAGAATCTATTTTATTGTCCTTCTGGAGAGATTGGCCATCATTTGAAAGTGTAGTATCTGCAAGGGACCATTCTATCCATGGCAGTATGGAATCAGCTGATTCTGGAACTGATCACCATTTGTGGATCAGGAACTTTTGGCAGGATGCACTACCAAGTGTGTATGTGTTTGTGTTCTCAAAATGCCATACAGGGGAGGATTTCCTGCAGAAAAGCTGATTTTGTTTTGGATACATTTGTTCCCTATCTAGTCAGACATCTAAGAGTACTGGTTAAAAGTCTGTTGATCTTATATGTTGGCTCTGCACAGTTTAAAATGTTATATTTAAGACAAGTTTAAGTTTAAAGTTGAATACAGTAAGTGCCAAACTGTGAAAGAAAATATTACTTTCCCTAGCCTCTGTTTCCTATGTTGATTTGGATGAAATGGGAAGCAAGAGGGATGGTGTATCATTTCTAATAGCAGTGCATTATTAGAAATTCTTTTAAATGATATATGCGGGCCGGGAGCAACCCGAGCCCTTTTCCGTGCTGCACGCGGGCTGTGGCCAGCAGCCCGGGCATGCTGGATCGGAGAGGGAGGGCGACGAGCTGGAATTAGGCACAAATGCTTAGCGGTAGTTTTAAAGATTGTTTACTTACACCGAGATGGCAGTGGTGTAGGCTGGAAAACTTGCTTGAGTTGCGGTTACAGACACAGACGACACGGACGATCATGTGGAGTTTGCTAGGCTCCACGGAACAGAGCTCCGGATGCTCTGGGTGAACGCACCACCAAAATCGAAATCGGAGATACGTCTTATAAAATTTGTGATCGAAGACGGGAAGAGGTGGGCGATGGATCAGGTCGCCAAGCTCCTCTGAATCTCACACAGGGTCCCTATTACCCTGCCGTGTATCCAGAGTCCCCACAAGATGGATGTGGAGTCCTGTTCGGCTTGGGCGGAAACTGCTCAAGCCTCTTATACGGCTAACAGGCCAATCGCTAGCCGCCACGTGGGAATAATTTAAACTTAGCCAATAGCGGGGAACGAATTTGCATACCAGTGGCGGGAACTCTTTTGCACCGTGCATTCCTCTTGCAACACGAGCAATGCACTCTGCAAAAGAAGCTGCAGGAAGGTGGGAAACTCGTCCCTGCACCGGGGTTTTCCTCTGTAACAGGAAACTCTCCCGTGCAATGAAGCTGCCACTTGGCGGGGATAATTCTGGTGCCGAAGCACACACAAAATTATGCCTTTGGGTCATGACATGATATAATAGTAATTTATGGTGTGTAACTAGTCTATGGCAGGTGGAAACCCTCTGGGAGTCTGAGCTATCTAATTAACATTCTATAATAGTCATGGAGATGTACCACAGATTTTTCTTGGAAGATAATTATTACAACTACAGAAATATCCTTCTTTAAAACTTATTTCTTCTGTACAGAAAAAGTTGACTTTGAAATATTTTAAAGATACAGCCTGCTGTTTTTATTTAATGAAAACGATTTCAAATACTTAGATCCTACTATCATATATTATTTGAAAATAAATGTTTGTAGTTATTTGTAGACACGCATTTCATTGTTTAGATCTAATCTTGCACGTTCACATGAAACTGAAGTCTGCAAAATACATGCCATCTGCAGGGGGTAAGTAATTCTGGCCTCTCTATCAAGGTAAAATAATAGGTGAACAATACAGCTTGCTTATGTTTTTATAAGCGAGTTGATTAGCAGTCATTATTGGTTACCATGGAACTTAGGCAAATATTAAAACATCTACCTTTCTTGTTCATTAAAAATATTTTTTCTACCCACGAGCTATCTTAAAAATAATATATACCTTTAAAACTTAAGACAGCTCCAGGAGAGGGTTTAACCCTGACAGATTTACTCTGTATTTTAATTGGTTGTTTTAGCAGACTAAAAAATCTTTTTTCCCTTGGATCTACAGACATGTTGTCTTGATTCCCTATTTTTTCTTTTTTTGTTGTTGAAACTTGTAAGTTGATATGAAAGACAAAATACTGTTCATCTATTTGTGTGTGTATAATTGTAATGATAATCACAGTTAAAAAAAAGAAAAGTAAATTTATAAATATCTAGATGTGTTTGGTAAGGTCTAGTTATTTGGAATGTGTGTGCGTGCGTGCATGTGTGTGCCCTAAGCTCTGTCTGTGCTCAGCAATTCCAAATAACTAGACCTTACCAAACGTATATAAATAGATATCTAACTTGTAAGTTGATATGAAAGACAAAATACTCTTCATCTTATATATATGTGTGTGTGTGTGTGTATGTAAAGATATTTATATCTATATATATCTGTATAGTTAGATAGCTATATAAAAGAGATCTATATAGGTTGATATTTCTCTCTGTGTATATATAGGTAGAGATATCTTTTTATATAAAAAGATGAAGAATATTTTGTCTTTCATATCAACTTACAAGTTTTTTACACGCGCGCGCGCGCGCACACACACACACACACACACACACACACACACACACACACACGGTAAGGTGTAGTTATTTGGAACTGCTGAGCACAGACAGAGCTTAGGACATGCACATGAAGGCACACATACAGGTTCCAAATAACTAGACCGTACCAAACATATCTAGATATTTATACATTTATTTTTCTTTCTTTTTTTTTTAAATTTTGACTATCATTACAATTATTCCTGGGGTGGGGGACGACGACGGGGAATTCATTTCCCCCCACCCCTGGCCTTCCACCACAACAGACTTAACAGCTGTACGCAGCTCTCCAAGAATCTGGGCTGTGCTCCTTGCTGCCTCTGTGCTGTGTTGTGGGGGCGTGTGTGCATGGGCATTTATCAGCCAAATTATTGGCCACATTAGGCTGATTTCTGACAACAGTCAATTTTCTTTATATCGGTGCCAATCCAATATTGGACTGATGTATCAATGCACCTCTACTTATGACATGATTAACTTATTAATTGCACCATAAATAATAACTGTTGCATGCTCTGGCAATAATGCGACAAGACAAGAAGTGAACCATAAAAGGTTCCATAGCTGATGGGCTTCCTGTTCATTGGAAATTTAAAATCTACATGGTGCAGTCTTATGCAGGGCTGCACCTCATGGCTGTCAGCCTGCTGGAGTGCAGGAAGCCCATTACCTTTTGGTCTTTCTGTGCACTGTCAAATTGAGAAGGCACCAGGAGAAGCATAGCATCAGGGACTAGTCCACAATACCACCATTCCTTTATTGCCCTTTGAATATACAGATCAGTGGGAACCCTGGAATCAGGGACTTATTCCCAGTGTCGTGCTCCCCACCTGACAAATCCTTCCTGCATTTGTGGCATGGCAGGATGTGTGGTGATTTTTGGGATCCAGGATAAAATTTGTTCAATTCAATCATGCAATTAAATGAACACCTGTCAGGGGCCTTTGTTTTTCTGTGTCAGTTTTGTTCATCTGTAAAGTGTGGAGCTCTGTATAGATTAATTATTGTTTGTAAAATACTCTTGAGACCTATTATGAAAGTTATCATAATAGTGGAAGAGTGAATAAAACAACAAAATTGAATAGAAACCAAAATGAGCATTCAGTGTAAATCTCAATTTAAAAAATGATAGATGCCATAATTCAGTACCTTTTAATTATTGCTGGACAATAGCAATGTTTAACTTAATTTATAAGCTACACTTTGATAAGTAGCTACACATTCTTCATGCAAAACACAGAGAAAGTGACTACATTTTAAAGAAGCTGTGACTTCTAAATGAAAGTAAACACATAAATTGCACCTTTGGTTTTACCTTATTATTGTTTATTACTCTTATTAAGCACTTATGTATTGCTGTAAAAGTATCCAAAAACTAACAACGCACAGAAACCAGCTGCAGACACAATAGTATTTTATAGCATGAAAATGAAGCTGTTAAAAACCTATTTCAGCTTCAGTCTCAGTATCTGTTTTAATAAAATGCTTACTAATGATACAACATCCTTTATAAACTTTTTATTTATTACAGATTTTGTAAATACCTATTATTCTGATGGT